TTTTTTTTTTCATTAGGGGTGTCTAGGAGCACTAGATGGTACATACATTAACGTGCGAGTCCCATCAAAAGACAGGGGAAGATATAGGAATCGAAAGGGTCAATTGTCAGTTAATGTTCAGATTCACGGTGGAAATGGTTCAAGGTAGCCTACTACACAACACCCTTACCAATCCTTAGTCATTTTTTTCTTATCAACTCTTTCCAAACTAATACTAATTTTTTTTTTTTTTTTTTTCATTAGGGGTGTCTAGGAGCACTAGATGGTACATACATTAACGTGCGAGTCCCATCAAAAGACAGGGGAAGATATAGGAATCGAAAGGGTCAAGTGTCAGTTAATGTTCAGATTCACGGTGGAAATGGTTCAAGGTAGCCTACTACACAACACCCTTACCAATCCTTAGTCATTTTTTTCTTATCAACTCTTTCCAAACTAATACTAATTTTTTTTGTTTTTTTTTTCATTAGGGGTGTCTAGGAGCACTAGATGGTACATACATTAACATGCGAGTCCCATCAAAAGATAGGGGAAGATATAGGAATCGAAAGGGTCAAGTGTCAGTTAATGTACTTGGGGTGTGCGATAGAAATATGAACTTCGTCTACATGCTTTGTGGATGGGAGGGGTCTACTGCTGATAATCGAGTACTAAGAGATGCAATCACTAGGGCAAATTCACTCTGAGTCCCAAACGGTATTCTCTTTGTTTTTTAGAATAAATAGTGTAAACAACACCCACCCTTAAAACACTCAATCAAACATAACACAATCGTTTAAAATGCAGGACAATATTATTTGGTGGATGATGGTTACACTAATAGTTCTGGCTTTCTATCGCGATATAGGGGTGTCAGATATCACTTAGATGAATGGGGTACAGGGTCCCGTACTCCACAAAACTTTAGAGAACTCTACAACCTTCGGCACGCCAAAGCTAGGAACGCGATTGAACGTGCTTTTGGCATTCTAAAAATGCGTTGGGCAATTCTTAGAAGTAACTCTTTTTACCCCATTAGGACCCAAAATCGCATTATCATGGCATGCTCGCTTATTCATAATTTTATACGTACAACAATGCCCGAAGACCCCATCGAGAACGAGATTCCAGAATTCCCGATACCTTCCAACCCACCGTCTGACGACGACTACATAGATCAAGTTGAAAGTAGTCCCGAATGGACCCAGAAGCGCAATCTCCTAGCCCAACAAATGTTCACAGAATGGCAGGGCGGTGTTCCCTAATAGATAAACAAACTTATCTTTGTGTACTTTCATAAGACTCTGTTAGTTACTACGTATGTGTGACAAATGTTTTTAAATTATCTTTTGTTGTTTATTATACAATATTAATGTTGTTGAATATGTTGTTATGGTGATTATTGACATTAAATACTGTTGTGTTTTGTGTATTTCCTGTATATTTTCTTGTGTAGTATATCATTTTGTTTCATGACCTTTTTTTAGATACTTTTATTTGAAAATTCTCTATTAACCTAAAATAAAAATAATAAAAAATATTGCTACAACATTATTGTTCCTACAACAAAATTGTCATGGAACCATCAATGACATCGGGTACCGGAAAAGAGGGCGGCGCCACCTCTAAACGCCGTGTGTGGACATCGGCTGAAGAGAATGCCCTAGTTAATGCTCTGAAGGATATTGTAACCGAGGGGTGGAAAACAGAAAATGGCTTCAGAACTGGCTATGCATTTCAGTTGGAAAAAAAGATAAAGACATATCTTCCCGGATGTGAAATTTGTGCTGACCCGCACATAACTTCCAAAATGCATGTTTGGAAGAAAACATATGCGAGTTTGGCCAATATCAAAGCAAATAAATTGGGTTTGGGATGGAATGATGTTTCAAAAAGCTTCTCCTGTGATGATGACAAGTACCAATCGTTGATGAAGGTTTGCTTAAAATTCCAAATCTCGAGTCGTCTATATATTTCACATCATTTACATATTCTCATTACATTTTTATTTTTATTTTTATTTTTATTTTTATTTTTTTTTTTTGCATCCCAACCTATCGCCAATAGGTTGAACCTAAAGCGAAAGGACTGAAGAACAAGTCTTTCTCCCACTTCGATGATTGGGAGGTCATATTCGGGAAAGACAGGGCATGTGGTGGTGATGCCCAGTCTTTCGCAGACGTGGCGCGGGATGTACAGCAGGACCTGTCGTACGAAGAATACGATGAGATCCCTTCACAGACCACGCAGCCCACCCATGTCCCGGGCAATGATGCTGGTCAGTCGTCGGGTACGGCATCTGAAAGTAATTCCAAGAGAGGGGGGAAGACGAGGGGCACAAAAAGGAGGTCCGCACACTTAGTGGACGATCGTTTCATCGATGTCATGGAGACTTTCTCGCTGAACACGGATGGCCAATTGGCCGAAATCAGTGCCAGACTGGGCAACGAGCAAGCGACACAGGCTCAGATGAATGAAGTAATGGATGCCCTCTGGAATTTCAACTTTCTATCTAGTGAGGAGCGAATGGTGATATGTCTGCGTTTGTGCAACAATGCGAGGGAGCTTGCTATGTTTTTGGGCATGGGGGAAGAGGATAGGGCACTCATGGTGAGGGTCATCCGAGATGGTCGGGGGTAGTGTTGCTAATGGGAAATCGTTGTGTCTCGTTATGTTGTCATTGTCTTACTTGTGAATGGTGTGAACTGTTTTTGTTGGTTTTGTGGTTTTGTGGTTGTTGCGACATGTTTGAATTGTTGGGATTTATGAATGTGTTTGTGGTTTTTGGGACATGTATGAACTTTTAGGACTTGTGAACGGTATGAACTTTTATTTTCTATATTCGATGGTGACCATGTATTCCAGTGTAATGGTGTACTTGTTTTGCATTGCACGTTGAATAAAATTTGTTATTGTTCTTCTTAAACTTATTTATTCTTTATGTTATATCGCTCGTTGCAGGTTATTTATGGCTACGTACAACGAAAGCCCGCCATGGGGGTGTTTCTACGTATATATGGACATGCCAGACTACCCCATCATGGTAAGTTAAACTTCATAACCTGAAAAAAACTAATGTCAAGATGATACGCGAAAGAAAAAACTTCAAACCTAAAAAAAAAAAGTGAAACAAACAAAGGGAAAAATTGAAAGAAACAACCTCAAAACCTAAAAAAAAAATAATGACAAGATGAGATATGAAATTTTTTAGGGCATTTCTGAAGCGGAGTGTTAATTTGGGAGACACGTGATGCCTTTTCCAGTTACTCTCATAACTGTTGAAGGTCGTCACTACCCAATGGACATGTGCAAAATTCGAGGTCCAAATGAATACGACCCAAGGGTTAGTTTGCATTTTGCAAATGGGTGGCAACGTTACGTTCAATCGGAGGATATACGTCAGGGGTACTACTTGTATTTTGAACGGGATGAGTTTAGAACGTTTAATGTGAAGGTCTACACTTGCAATGATATAGAGAGGCCTCCACAGAACCGGTTTAGCATCAAAATAAATAAAAACTCACGTGGAGCGTGCTCTTTTGGTAAGTGAATGATTTCATGTTTTACAATTATACCTTTCGTCAACATTGTTGTTGCATAATTAATAAAATGTTATCTTATTTAATATTTTTTTTTTGTTGTTGTAAAGCCAATACCAATGCAATTTTGGAACGCACATGATGAAGGACAGGTTCCAGAGATAGACCGTGCAGTGCTTATGTTCAAGGGGGATACATATTCGATGCATATAGATCGATCTCATGGTAAGTGGCGGTTGAAAGATGGCGATATGCGTCATTTCTTTGAAAAAAATGACGTTGTGGAGGATTCGGAGTGGGTCTTTACATTGATTGCGTTTAGGTACCCTTGGTTTAGAGTGGTAAAAATTTGTGTGTAGCATGTATTTGAACGACAAACTTTTGGAAACTTTTCGGTAGTGAATTTTGGTACTTGGTGTGAAAATTATGTAAGACGTGGGTGTTAGCATAATTTTAGGTTTATTAAGACATTTTTTATGTTTTATTTGTGTTTTAACTGGTAACTTTTATTTGTGTTTTAACATGGTACGTAACCAATAAATGGTACATACAAATAGAAACGTAGATTACGCCTCCAAATCCTTCATAACCATACAGAAGACCATGCCTAATACATAACACCTTACCTAATACATAATACAAACACAACTGCCTACGCCTTAAAAATGCTACGCATAGGTCCTAAAAACAGACGCGGTGGAACACATACAGAACATGCAAAAGAAACATGCAGTAACCATAAAACAAACATAATAGTTAATAACAAACATAATAGTAAATAAAAATTAAACAAACAACCAACAACAACTAACATACTGAGACACCACTGAAACAAGAACATAGAAGGAGAGGATGTAGTGACAAGACTAATTCCATGGCCAATTATGCGTGTAATCCATAGGAGTGACAGAACATGCAGTGGATGTAAATTTAATTATATTTAGCTTATCCCAATCCCCCAAAGTAAACGACCCTCGAATATATCAAAATAACCAATTATATATAAATTTAATTCATGTCCTCAAGCTCACCGATGCGAGAGTGATAAACATACTCAACGCACGTCAAGCACGATCGCAAAATATTCTCAGTTCAAAACTATGACCCGTAGTTATCCTCAAATAAACAATTTTTCCACGAATAAATCGATTGATTCCACGAATAGATCAAATACTCGCTCGAGTAAATCAGATAATATTTCCATGAACATATGCAAATATTTGCTCAAATAGGTCGAGTAACATGTCTGTGAATATATCAAGTATTATCTCAACAAGCCAGTTAAAAATTTTCAAGAATAAATCCAATCATATCTCGTGAGCGAATCAAATAATCCCATGCATAAATCAGATAATATCTACGAACAAATCAAATACTATCTCACCACGCGAATCAACCAATTCCACGGGCGAGTCAAATAATCTCCATGAATAATTCAAACAGCTCCCAAGGGTAATCAAATAATATCTCGAGCAAATCAAATAATATTCACGAATAAATCATATAATCCTCCACAAATAATCCAATAAATTCAATGGATAAGTCACATACTTTCTCCATTTTCTCCAATTTAGAAATCCTCAAGTCTCCAATTTAACTCAATTATTTATCCATTTTTCCAATTCAAAAATCCATGATACCCATAATTTAAATCAACTCCATACCTAGCTCATGAGAATATTATCTCAAATTACCTTCCGTGCGTGTTAAGTCGTCACAAAATAGCC